GAATGCATACAAGCCAAGTCAGAAAGTCGACCTTATTTCTAAAGCGCTTTATACAATATAGATTGTTTCAGAGCAGCTTCACAATAGTTTCAAATTCAAATTCTGCTGTAAAGCAGCAAGTTAATAGTGTCATTATACAGCTCGTCAGTTCAGTACTGATTCAGTTCAGTAGCATAAATGTGTGAAATTAATCAGTTGTACATACATACTGTACAGTGTATATGTGCACATGCATGTATGTGCAAGTGCTATGACAAACTTCTGTGCACTCCACTGCACTCTGAACAAGCAAAAGACACAAGAGAGTAGTGTTTTAAATTGTTCACATACTATATGTGTGTAGTTTGGGGTGTATGTGGCTAATTATTTTATGTTTGTGTGAAGAGTTACTACGCAAGAATACAATTTTTAGAAGAGTTAAAATAGTTTTGCAAGATATGTGTGATGTTTTGCATGTTGTGTGTGTGTTTGTGATTTTGTGTGTAGAATTTTGAGAAATGGAGCTATAGTTTCAAAAACTGTGTAAGCTTTTTTTTTTAAACTCTAAATTCACATAATTCCATTCATTTATTCAATATTAACTTTCCATATTAAATCATATTATTTTCATACACACATTTTAATATATAAATATATACTAAATACTAAATGGGAAAAAAAAACATTTATATATTGAAATTATATATTTATTTATTTTAAACTGTGCGTCAAAATTCATATACAATATTTTAATTAATTAAAATAAAAAATTCATCAATTTATTTTATTTATATATATTTTTTTTTTATTATTTTTTTTTTTTACAGATTTTAAATCAAACATACCCACAAAACTGTATGAGAAAATTACCATTTTTAGAAATCATAAAAAATAATATACAATATTTACTTGATTGGACACCAAATATTAAAAGCTATGTATAATATAGTTAGCTATATAAAGGGTTTATAAGCCTTCAGAATTCATTCCTCACTCTTCCTTAATAAAGACAAGACCCTGTACTTGGTTATCAAAACCAAACTTGACAGTTGTTCCACTCAGCGCCTGTATATCTTGCCAGCGTCATTTCAATTTAACGTCAAAGTCATTAGTCAGCAGAGTGATCAAATGTAATGCTTTTCATCTACACACTGTCTTAAAATCATATGCTGTTTAATGAACATAATGATGCCTGAGTGTCAGATCACATCTGAGTCCTAAAACATTAATGCCATCAGTGAGAAAAAGTCTTCCATTCCTATTAAAACATGGAAAAAGTTGCAGAGATGTTTCGGATTCAATCCTGCCTCTGGCTAAATCTCATCTTATACCTGTTTAACATGGTGCAGAGCAGGTCTATTTTTATGTATGCATTACAACCTTACGCCTTTCCTAAACACATGCGCACCGTCTGATTAAATTAACACAAAGGCTTACAGGTTCATAGCTGTTAATTGGTGTATCATTTCATTTAGTACCTTGTTCTATTTTAAATGTGTCCATACAGTTATTTTTTCAAACGAGAGTAGGGTGTTGTATTTAAAGTTTGCAACATCAGTAAATGTATTCTTAATGTGGCTTCGGAAGGATTCATGGACCATGTTCAAATAAAATGGCATGAATAACAATTATCATGATTTACCCTTTTAACACACCAAAACCCTAAACTAAACTAAACTAAACCCGAAACTAAAATATATTATCATACCACATTCTAGTTTGATTTAAGTTCATAAATCTTAAAAATTTGTATTTTAGCATTGCTTAAGTCAGTGCTTAAGTCTGTTTGATTCAGTCTGATTTGCCAGTCAGGTTGAGTGATTTATTCAAATGAATCCATTGAGTGATTCATTGACTAACTGCACGGCACTTTGCACTGTATTTTTGTTTCATATGCAGTCAGTGAGGACTACACAACAGTTGTGTTTATCTATATCTTTGAAGTACACATTCTCTTTGCATACAATCACAAGCTCTTAACTAGGCAAAATTATATAATCATTTGCTGTGCCGCTGCAGATCCAGAAAACACTGCTGATATCTTGACCTCTCATTTTGTTTGTAAAATGAAGCCATTTTTCGCACACCTGCAGCAATTACAGGATGCAGATTAAATACCATAAAAAGTAAAAGTAGCAGTTAAGAAGAATTAATCTTTTTTTTTTTTTTTTTTTGGGGTAATTTTGGTCAGCCGGCCACTCCTGGGAAGGTTGTTTTTGCCATTTGTGAATAATGGCTCTCACTGTGGTTCGCTGGAGTCCCAAAGCTTTAGAAATGGCTTTATAACCTTTTCCAGACTGATAGATCTCAATTACTTTCTTTCTCATTTGTTTCTGAATTTCTTTGGATCTCGGCATGATGTCTAGCTTTTGAGGATCTTTTGGTCTACTTCAATTTGTCAGGCAGGTCCTATTTAAGAGATTTCTTGATTGCGAACAGGTGTGGCAGTAATCAGGCCTGGGTGTGGCTAGAGAAATTGAACTCAGGTGTGATAAACCACAGTTTTAACAGGGGGGCAAACACTTCTTCACACAGGGCCATGTAGTTTTGGATTTTGTTTTCCCTTAATAATAAAAACCTTCATTTAAAAACTGCATGTTGTGTTTACTTGTGTTATCTTTGACTAATATTTAAATTTGTTTGATGATCTGAAACATTAAAGTGTGACAAACATGCAAAAAAATAAGAAATCAGGAAGGGGGCCAACACTTTTTCACATGATTTTTGTACATGAGTAACTGTATTAATTGTGGGCAAATCTTAACCCCCAAATGTGCATAGTTTATACACTGTCAATTTACAAACATGTATGATTTAGATTTGTAGACATGGATAATGGATAGATTATTATTATTATTATATAAGTTTTTTTTTTTTTAAATGTGCAACTCTCATTTGTATTTTTTTCTGTTTTTTTTTTTTGCATGACCAAAAAAGAAAGAAAGAAAAGCAAAGAAAAAGAAAAAAAGAAGAAAGAATAACAAAAAATGCATGATTTCCTTCATTAAGATAGCAATAAAAACTAACAGATCTTACCTCACTCTCCCCAATACTGCATCATAATGTGAGATAAATATTGCATCATACGAATAATATAATCTTATATAACAATACATAGAATATGCTTGGCCTACAGCTGTATAAAGAAAGATGTCTTACCACAGTAGGCAATGCTCATTGATCTCAGGCGGAGCTTGCTTGCGCCGTTCTTGCAGTAGAGTTGCTGGGTGTGCAAGCCAGCCTCACCTCGGAGCTGCCAGAGCTGAATCCATCGGATCCCACAGCCGCAGTCAAAGACGACCCCCTCCAGCCTCCTGTGTCAACAACACAGCCAACGCTAGTTATACAGTCCCCAAACTCCACCATTTTCATGCTGTGTTAACTCTGAACTGGGCATGCAAAACCAGTCAAACTTTGCCTGCACTAGTTAAAAACAGCAGTTTTGTGACACTGTCTCCCAGGTGGTATGGCATAGTGACCAGAACGGATTACTGAAAGGTTGTAGTTTCCCACATGGGGAGATCCATAAGCAATCACCATCATGCCCTTTAGTAAGACTCATAATCACAGGCAGCAGGGCTCGACAGTGCGAGCATTTCATTCACATTTCCCACTAAAAATAGAGGTGTGCGAACTGTAAAATGTATTTAGGAGCATCTGTGCGAATAAAACAAGTCTTGGCAGGTATTTAAAATGTTTTAAATAGTAGAACATAAGTCGTAATAATCATTTTAAGAGGTCTTAAATTTGTGGACGAAAATGCAAGAATCGTGATTCAGTCTAATGTGATTATTAAACGTCAAATGGCTGTGATTCATTAAATAAATGAGCGTTGCATGTTTAAAGTTAAAACATAGTGCTGTTGCGCGTTCTACATTCTCACATTTTTAAAGTAGTTCGCAATCAGTGAATACCGTGCATTTATGCACATTTAACAACTGATGAATTGGGAGAGTGTTTACTTTGATTTTTAATTTTGTAGTATGCTGGAGATTGTTATAAGTGTGCATATTTTATCTCCTTCATGTTTTTGAATGAGCACCTTCAAAATAAGAGTCCTGGTGCATTTCAGGCTGGTTTGTAATTAAAAATCCTGCATTATGTTTTTTTTTCCCCCCTGTGTAATATTGGTATTTCAGTTACAAAAAAATGTTACATACAAAAAACTTGAACACAAAAATTATTCAATTACTAAACAGTTGGAATACAGTTTGAAGCTTTTTGTACTCTAATAAATTACTTAATTTTCTTGTAAATGTCTCCTTATATTCTTTTATTGAAGAAAACGTCTCGGGTTACGTATGTAACCCTGGTTCCTCGAGGGAACGAGACACTCCGTCGGAATGGTCTCACCGCACGTGCTTTTATAGCTTCCTGGTCATTACGTCGCCCATCTATTGGTCTGATTACACACGAGGTTCAGAGCCCGTCACGCTGAAGGGCATTCCCCTAGTGTTTTCCGACGCAGTTCGAGTTCCTGAAGAGGAACCACATTATTTGATACATTTTCATTGAACTTTTAAGTTGTTGTTTTTTTTTATGCACTCCTAAATTTTCCAGTTTTTCAAAAAAGCATCTGCTAATTGACTGTATTTACTATTGCATGACATGCATTGCACACATGAGCATTTTGTCAACTGCATCTTTTACGTCACATACATGATGCATAACATAAACAGCATTTAAAGCATGGGTATTTGCATTTCAAAGCTGTAAAACTGGCAAGTGCACAAAGCACACAATTCCCATTCCCAGCAGTGACATTCTAGATTCAGTTACTAAAACATCAGATTATTAAATGATGTTTATGCAAAAAAAAAAAAAAACAACAACAACCTCAAGAAACATTAGGTGAAAGCAGATCTTAATAGCTTCCAGATATTTACTTTATTTTACACCAGAAACATACATACATAAGTATGTAGACATGCTTGGGCAACACATTGTAAGCGCACTGTCCCATGACAAATCTCAGTTCTGACATAGGTAATAGAGTTCCTCTCTGTGTCTGTGACATTAAAACAGATGCTTTATTATTCAAATAGCTAGCTATAACAAGTTGACAGCTGAACTTAACTGCAAGATTGTGAAAAGAAAGAAGTGACTGCGGCAGACAGCTGCTTGCTTTAGTGCCTACAGAAGGCAGTTTACACTAATGCCTTGCAACACAACACATACTTTTGCAGAATTATGAATTATGTTCTGAAACATTACAGAAAGCAACTACATGTGAAATTGAGCTTGCACAGCTAGGCGAATTTGCAGTCTAGTACTTGTGCAGAGTTTCTGGAGTACAAACATGTTCAGATATTTTTTACTGCAAAGCAAAAACACTTAAAATACAATTTCATGCAACAAACTACATATACATACTACCGTTCAAACACATGGAGTCAGTAGGAATTTTTAAAGAAATTAATACTATCCGCATAATAATCAGCATTTTAGAATGATTTCTGAAGGATCATGTGACACTGAAGACTGGAGGAATGATGCTGAAAATTCAGCTTTGCATCACAGGAATAAATTACATTTTAAAATATATTGCAGGACAGATTTTCTAAAACTAATAAACTCTTCCATGAAGTGCATAGTATGCTGATAAATAGGAATATGATAACATACAAAGCTGTACTTGGTAAGTGGACATTGATTACTGGAACAATATGACATTTCACTTTATGAAAAATACAGTCGCAGTGGCTGAATAGAAAGAAAGATGAGGCGCTCACAACGTGATGAACTGTATATCATTACCCACAGGCTTTGATCTCAGCGTGAAACTTTAGTCCATTAATCTGTATGCTCGGCTTGGAAAATACGCTACTGTATGTTTTCAGAGCCCTTCATTATTTTGCAAATCCCTTTCTGCAAACCTCCAGAAGTCAGGTCACCCACAAGAACAAATGCATCTGTACAGCATGGAATGAGCTGACAAGTAGAATGACCAAAATTACTTGAATGTGATTCTGAGAGAAATGTGAAACCGTGTCTTCATGAAGTATACTAAGAAGTTGTGAGAGAGACTATTGACAGCAACAAAAAAAATATGTGTTTTGTTTTGTTTTCTAAGGCATCATTTATGCTACCAGGAATAACCCAGTGGCGGCCAACAGGGGTTTGACTATCATCAATGGTGATTGACAGCCCATAACATGATTATGCATACTAATGAGGTTTAGTTGGGCATGTGCACCGGAAAGCTATTAAGAAATGAAATTGTAAAATGCAACTCTTCAAAATGTAATGGGATCATTTTCTTTTTGAAGAATAAAACAAAACCAGATCAAGATTTTACATTGGACATTAAGTGGAGACCCAGCATACTACCGACATTGCTTAAAAGTAAACAAAAACATATTTAAAAGTTGATATTGAAATGTGGTTTATTATTTGTTTTCTGTATTTCAGTATTTTCATGTTTTTCTCTGCTATATGTGACCCTGAACAGACCTGTGACCTACCAGTTGAGAATCACTATCCAAAAGGATAAAGTCTAAATTCTCAATTCTTTTTCCAAACCCTCAGGCTGATATTATGTTACAATGACTGTTAGGATGGATTCACTTGGTCTGAAAATCAATAATACCCATGAATCTCATCTAGCTTGGAAGATTACACCATTATAACTGATACCAATCCACACCATTCATCTCCATAATACATGCAATTTGTTCAGTGAAGTTCAACTATGTTTGTTTACAAAGTATATTCAGTGGGAATAAATGCAGATTTTCCAGTTGTTCTTTCCAATGCTTTTTGCTTTTTCTTTCCTCCATTCATCCATAGTTACATTTTTTTTATATATTATAGATTAGATTTGTTTAGTAATATATATTTCCTATTTTGATAAATAGTGCTTTTTATGATCTATTGCTACATTAGTGAAAATCTGTCACTATTTTACTTTTGGCATCAAACATTTTGAATCTAATTGACTATAATGACTGTTTTGCTGAAAGGATGGCTCTTGTAAGTGAAAAAAAAAACACTCTTTGTGGCATTTCCAAGTAAATTCATAATTTCTATCATATATATGCTTGTTTTATTTTATTAGGTTTTTTTTTTTCAGTAAAAGGAACTATAATTTCAACCCAAGAGTCATATACAGTACATATATTGAATACTGTCAAAACAACAGGCTGAAAAATTGAGCTATAATCTGTAATCCCTAGCCCATCTTGATGTCACTTCCTTTGAAAAAAGGAAGCACTCACTCAGACAGAGGAGACACTGAGACCTTATGCTGATGTAGTATGTCTGCAAATGTTTGTGTACTAAGTGTCCTTGAAGACAATGACTTTGTTGGATTTATTGCAATGCATTTTTTTTTTTCATTTTCATTTTAAGTGCAGTTTAACCACATGATCAGTCATTTTGATGATACGTCATGCCAGTGGTGAATGTACCACCAAGTCACTTTCAGATAATACAAGACAGCAAGAACATTATGATTGGTCACATGCTCTGATTGGACTCTGAAACATCATTTTAAACTGACAAATCATGTACAGTGCTTTAATTTTCTAGACATTTAAAGAAATAATCCAATGAAAAAAAAAAAATCTGTCATTTTTGTTCCCGCTCATGTTGTTCCAAAGCTGTATGACTTTCTTTCTGCTTCAGAACACAAAAGAAGATATTCTGAAGAACACTGGGATCCCAACAACTTACCTTTAAATACATAAAGATTTTTTTTACATAATTTACTAGAGATTTCATTCAAAAAACAATAACAAAAGAGCGGACTAGAACAACAAGAAAGATTTACATTGACTATAGAACTATAACTTTAAGATTTCATTAATTTCCACAAATTTTCCAAGTCTGAATATTATAATTTTCCTGACATTTAGAGATTATTACTTACAGAGTTATTCCTGTAATTGGGCATAAATGAAAGCATCACACAAAGTAGTACCTGAGCCAGGTTTATGTATATATATATATATAGAGAGAGAGAGAGAGAGAGGTGCATCTCGATAAATTAGAATGTCGTGGAAAAGTTCATTTATTTCAGTAATTCAACTTAACTTGTGAAACTCGTGTATTAAATAAATTCAGTGCACACAGACTGAAGTAGTTTAAGTCTTTGGTTCTTTTAATTGTGATGATTTTGGCTCACATTTAACAAAAACCCACCAATTCACTATCTCAACAAATTAGAATACTTCATAAGACCAATAAAAAAAACATTTTTAGTGAATTGTTGGCCTTCTGGAAAGTATGTTCATTTACTGTACATGTACTCAATACTTGGTAGGGGCTCCTTTTGCTTTAATTACTGCCTCAATTCGGCATGGCATGGAGGTGATCAGTTTGTGGCACTGCTGAGGTGGTATGGAAGCCCAGGTTTCTTTGACAGTGGCCTTCAGCTCATCTGCATTCACCTGTATATATATATATATATATATATATATATATATTGGCTCTTAATGGCACATTTTAGAGGTATAGTTGAATACTTATTCAATTCAGTAGTTAATTATCTTGCATTTTAGCACTTATTATCTCTATGGCATACAACAGTGAAATGATCTCAATTGACCATAACAGTGAAAACAACTTTGGTAAAAATCAATTTCCTGTAGGACAGATTTGGACTAATGACATGTTTATATCATCCACAATAAAGGTATTACGTTCACTACAACAGTGATATAGGTTAAAGGATTATTTAACTTACAGAATAAAAAAATCCTGATAATTTACTCACCCTCATGTCATCCAAGATCTTCATGTCTTTCTTTCTTCAGTCACAAAGAAATTAAGGTTTTTGAGGAAAAAATTCCAGGATTTTTCTCCATATAATGTACTTCAATGGGAACCAACGGATTGAAGGTCCAAATTGCAGTTTCAAAGCAGCTTCAAAGGGCTCTACACAATCCCAGCCGAGGAATAAGGGTCTTATCTAGTGAAATGATTAGTCATTTTCTAAGAAAATAAAAAAAATTATATGCTTTTTCACCACAAATTCACATCTTGCACTAGCTCCACGATGCGCGTCCGCAAATTCACGCATGACGTAATCACGTTGGAAAGGTCACGCACGGTCAGCTCTTTGTCTGTGTACTCTGGTTCAAAAAGGAAATGAGAAAATCTCATTTTCTCCTCCAACTTCACAATCATCCGACATCGTTGTTTTACCTTGTTTTGTAAAGGGCGTTTGACTTTCTTTGCACGTTCACTTTGTAAACACTGGGTCGGTACTTCCGCCTACGTCACGCGTGACCTTTCCAACGTGACTACGTAATGCGTGAAGTTAAGCTAGTGCAAGATGAGCATCTGTGGTTAAAAAGTATATACATTTTTATTTTTTTAAGAAAATGACAGATCATTTCGCTAAATAATACCCTTATTCCTCAGCTGGGATTGTGTAGATCCCTTTGAAGCTGCTTTGAAACTGCAATTTGGACATTCAACACGTTGGTTCCCATTGAAGTCCATTATATGGAGAAAAATCCTGGAATGTTTTCCTCAAAAACCTTAATTTCTTTGCGACTGAAGAAAGAAAGACATGAACATCTTGGATGACATAGGTGTGAGTACATTTTTATTCTGGAAGTGAACTAATCCTTTAAGCAGGGTTCCCCTTTCTTATTATCCAGTGAATTCTCACTTCACAGTCATTCATCATAAATAGATAAAACTATTTTTATTAAACCAAACTATACATTTGGTTCTGTTCTGTTTATCCTAAGGAGTTTATCGCTGCTCTCCCTGCTCTTATCCATGCTAGGCTACATGGATGGGCAGGGAACTTTTACCCAGAACAGAACAATACCGCCAATCCAAACTGTTTATTCATTGTCAATCATCTTTGACGATAGTGGTTCTGACAGAACTATAGATTTCCCCCTTAAAAACAGTAACAAAAGAGCTAACTGGAGTAACTATAAAGATTTACATCCACTATAGAAATCTCCATGACTTTGATTAATTTCTGCAGCTTTCCCAGGTCTGAATATTATAATTTCCCTGATATTTACAGATTATTCCTTAAAGAGTTATTCCAGTAATGACCTTAAATGAAAGAATCACACAAAGCAATACTTGAACCAGGTTGATCTTTTGATATTAGCTCATAATGGCACATTTTACAGACGCAGTTGAACACTTATTCAATTCAGTAGTAAATTATCTTGCATTTTAGCACTGAACTGTGCTGAAATGATCTCTAAAGCACCCACCTGGTAAATAAATTCACCATAACCATGAACACAAATCAGATTCTGGTAAAACTAATTTCCTAGAGGAAAGATTTGGACAAATGACACGAGTTGATTATATTATCCACGATATCCACATCAGTGAAGACAGAAAAAGACAGCAATGTGCACAGTCCCCAAATCCCCCAAAACATTCTGAAATGAAAGGCCAAAAATGTGCTTAATAAAAAATTAAGCAGGACATATGTCAGCTGCTCAAATTGTGTTCAGCCACAACAAAGAACGACGACGGGACGTGTCAAATTCAAAATAATTGAATTGTTTTGTCATTTTAAACGCAACACGACGATACCATGTCGTCTCTCACAATCAATAAACAAACTCATCACTTTATGTACATGCAGATTGCTCAAATATTCATGACAAACAAGAAAATTAGGTCAGGCTCCCAGCAGACAAGACCAATACATTTCACTGCCATGTCTTAATTAACCAGCAGGAGCAACTCGACTGTTCGCAGACGTAAAAAGTGCTTCTGCTTCATCACTGGAGATGTTTTGCTTTGACAGAGACACAAGTCTATCGGAGGATGGGAGCAGGGGGTGCACAAACAAATTAGTTGACAGTAAAGTGATGAAAACATTTCTAATGAACACAGCAATTCAATTGAACATCAAGCCTGGATTTCAGCATCCAATTTGGCAGCCGAGTGCTGCTTATCACAGAAAATCTATGCAGAGAGAATTTTGAGATTTATTATAAATTGAGGAATTATTGCTTGGTGTGTTTTTATACTGCGATTTGGCAGCTGAATTCATGTAGTTATCTCACTTGTGGAATTACTATTAACTAATGCAGGATGAACTTACAGTTCGACTAGCTGAAGGTGCTGAAAAAGCTGCCAAGAGAGTGTCGTCAGAGGGTTCTTGGACAGGTTTCTGTGCAAAAAGACAAAAAAGAAAGAGGAACAGCAATTTATGATTTAGCTGTGAACAGATGAAGCAATTAAATCAACATACCATAAGGCTTGCATATATATCAAATAATACAACAAAAACATTTTGAGGGGACATTACATGATCATGATACATTTTATCTACAACAGGGAAAAAACGGCATAGAATGAAAAAATGCTTTTTACAGTTAATAAGAAATTAATTTACCTTCATTTTATACATTTTAAAGGGATAGTTCACCCAAAAATAAAAATTCTGTCAATATTTACTCACCCTCAATCTGTTCCAACCCCGTATGAGTTTCTTTCTTCTGCTGAACATAAATGAAGATTTTCTGAAGAATGTTGGTAACTAAACAGTTGCTGGTCCCCAATGACTTCCATAGTATGGAAAAAACATCCATAGTTTGGTTACCAACAATCTTCAAAAAATCTTCATTTATGTTCAGCAAAAGAAAGAAACTCATACAGGGTTGGAACAAATTGAGGGTGAGTATGATGACAAAATTTTCATTTTTGGGTGAACTATCCCTTTAAGTTGAACTTAATGTTTTTACTTATATTCACTAAATTAAACTGAGTAGATTTCAGTATATTCAAATCTGTTTTTCAGTAAACTGAAAGACCTCTTAGTGTTTAATGCTCAGTTATGTATGTTTCTGTAGAGTTTCTATATCTAGCATAGCACACAAACAAGCAGTATTATTATTATTAGCACAGCTTTTGCTCATTGAGTTAAGAAATCTACTTTATAATCTTATAATCTTCATTCTACTCTTCAGCACAATGGAAAACAGCAGAATTACGTAACATAGTGGAAACTCTTTTAAAATGTCAAACGCAAGTGAACATTAAACATTAACATGTCTTTATATTTACTCAAAAAAACAAAAACAAACACAGACGTTCACGTAGGCCCAAAACAAGTAATTTTACTGTTCAAATGTTTGGGGTCAGTAAGACGTTGCCTTCTCTAGTGCAGCTCAACCAGGTCTCGTCCCATTCATCGATATTTGTGATATCACAAATCCCGGAAAATATGCGTTGTAGTCCAAACGAGTCGTTCTTTGTAGCTTTTGAAAAGTGATTTATGCTAAATAAAATATCCTTTTGAAGTGGACTTTGAGCTTTGTAACTTTGCAGATCTTTTTTATGCTCAAACAGCAACATTACAGACTAACTAAAGTTGAAAAAGTGAAAAAGCATAATAGGACTCCTTTAAAGAAATTAAAACTTTTATTCAGCAAGGATGCATTAAATTGGTCAAAAGTGACTGTATTTAACATTTATAATGTTAAAAAAATATTTATATTTCAAATAAATGCTGTTCTTTTGAACTTTCTGTTCATCAAAGAATATCTAGGGGGGGGGGAATGAATCATGGTTTCCACAGAAATACTGCAGAACTGCTTTCAACATTGATAATAATATAAAATGTTTCTTGAGCACCAAATCAGGATATTAAAATGATGAAGAATCATGTGACACTGAGGACTGGAGTAATGATGCTGAAAATTCAACTTTGCCATCATGGGAATAAATAACATTTAAAAAAATATTAAAATAGAAAACAGTTATTTTAAATTGTAATAATATTTCCACAATATTGCAGTTTTTACTGTATTTTTGATCAAATAATAGCAGCCTTGGTGAGCATAAAAGACTTTCAAATACATTCAAAATGATTTTTTTCAGTGTAGAATAGAAAACTCAAAGGCACCTTAACAAGTGCAGTTTTTTTTCCCTGCCATTACATATTTCCAAGGTAATCATGATTTTCTAGGCAAGAAGTGAAGAAAAATCTGGATACATCCATGAGTGCATGAGTCTAATACTGACAAATACTGTACATTTTAAAAGTGTACATAGGCTAAAATTAATTAGAGTCAAACATTAAAAGCAAGTAAACCTTACCATTAAACGTGCTCCACAAATACTAATTCAGTGAACACGTTCTGTCAAACACAACTTTAACGGAAAGAGTTAACATGAGAGAGAAGGACTTTATGCAACAGGAAATCAGAGAGAGCCTCCATCACTGCCAAGAGGAGCTGAGAGAAAAGGAGCAGCTGCAGGGGCCGCTCAGCCAAATCAATAAAGAGAACTTGAGCAGTTCGCCATCTACAAATTCAGTAGACGCAATGAAAGACTGCAGGTTTTAAAAGCCAACAAATTCAATACAAAGAGGTGGTCTGGGACTTGAAAATGGCTTTTAACTAACAAAGCCAAAGGCATGATATGTGGTAGGGAGCATTAAATAAATCTAGTGGTTATAAAGAAAGATGGATATCCGTGATATGGAGAAAAAAATAGAACAGACGTCATAGAACAGGTCTCTAATATAACTTAAATCATATTAAGCATCAACATTTGGTCAAAATGGAAATATAATAATTTTTATTAATGCATTTTTTTTTTTTTTTTCAGTGCAAAATATGGTTATAAATGGTCCATGGTCTGAAACCTTTCGGTAGATCTGTTCCTGTCTTTCTCAAATATATATCAAATAATACATTTAAGGAAGCACTCAGAAGGAACATATAGCCCTTATCTTTCCCTCAGTACAGAAGACTGTATAGGTTTATCAGTGAAAAAGATAATGTTTTATCCTTTACAAAGCATCTGGCTCAATGATTTAAAGGTTGTGCTTTCATATAAAATAATCAGCAATAAAATGATTGTTGATATGTACAGTAGAGTTCAAAAGATTGGGGTCAATAAGATATTTTTAAATAATACTTTTACTCAAGAAGGACACATTAAATTGATCAAAAGTGTCAGTAACGAGTTGCATAATCTTACAAAACATTTATTTTTCAAATAACTTTCTATTCATCAAACAATTATTTTTTTTCATCAAACAATTCTGAAAAAACAAACAGAAAAAATCACTGTTTTCACAAAATATTAAGCAACACAGCTGTTTTCAACATCAATTTATTCATAAGAAACGTTTTTGAGCAGCAAAACAGCATATTAGAATGATTTCTGAAGGATCATGTGACACTGAAGACTGGAGTAATGATGCTGAAAATTCAGCTTTCTATCATAGGATTAATTGCAAGAAAAGAAAAGAAAAGAAAAGAAAAGAAAAGGAAAGAAAAAAAAGGAAAGAAAAGAAAAGAAAAGAAAAGAAAAGAAAAGAAAAGAAAAGAAAAGAAAAGAAAAGAAAAGATGTACTGGTAATTCTTTGCTAGGAGAGTATCCACTAATTTTACAGACATTTCTGTGAACCCTACAACACAACGCAATGAAGTGAAAAATTCAAAATACAGGTAAAACACTTTAAAAAATCAATACAGAAAATTCATTTATTTTAATACAGTACGTTGTGCCCTATTTTTACTGATTTTTTACAGTGTGCATTCAAAAATATATTAAATAGGAAACAGTTATTTTAATTTTTATTATACATTTAAAGCTATTTTTGAATAATATTGCACAATATTACTATTTTTACATTTATCATGTACTGTAACTCGTCGATAACTCAAATTGTGCAGCTTGTTTATAAAGGTCAGACATACATTTTTTGCCCAAGTGTATGATTAAATAGGAAAAATCTCACAAAATTACACTCAAGGAGAGACCAAAACCACATTTAGACAACAGAATATCATCAAGACTTGCAGATGGCCTCTTTTAACTTTGACCAGTAAGCAACCACCTAGCAACCACATAGCATTTTTCCCTAGAAATCTGCTCTTTAGAGAAACACAGCTGTGAGATGGCTGAAGTGGTGGATGCATGTCTTATAACACGCTATTTTGACTAGACGACTGGCATATTCTCAGGGTCATTAGAAACTCTTATGAGTTTTATAACAAGCACTGCTGGCTGCCAAAGCCTGTCGCCATAGCAACAAGCTCTCTGATGCGACCTGATGCAGGGGGAGGGGTTTTGTTGCCGCTGTGCGCTTTAAAGTGTCAACACCCACAACACACACTCAAAAACACACACGCTTACACTCTGACAGAAGCCTTTGAGCATTAGTCCGTTTTTATTTGAAACTCATAGTAATTCAGCCATTCAGTTTCTGCTTCAAGAGCTTCTAATGGAGTCTTATTAAAATGTGTTGCATAAGTCAATCTATGTAATTGCACATCTTTGTGGGTGTTACTTAAAAGTGAAGCATATGAAAGTGTTATTAAAATGTTTTTCAGTATCTCTGTAGTGCTATCAAAAAACCAGTCTGACGTAACAACACGGGATCATTAAAGGACTCTTAACAACAGAATGTATGTGCGGTTTAAGATTATTTTATCTTAAATATTATGGATTGAATAGTTTATTCATTACATGTCGGCAAGGGATTGTTTACCTACAAATAATATTTTAGGAAAGATTTTTCTGTACAAGAAAGTTTGCTTTTCATTGTGGGGTCCAAAATAGTTTGTTACCATCTTATCCAGAGTCTTTGCAAAGCCATGCACATTGTGACAAAATCACAAAACAGCTGAAATATGCTGCATAGATGAATAAAGTCGGACTGAAATGATCAAGCACTGTTAAAAATAAGCTCCAGCTGCTCATTTCTAACATTGGGATTGTTTAGAAGGATATGCAGAGTGACAGGTGCTACACACAGTTAGGAATAGCACAAGGTTTGGCAGACTTTTCCATATTTTATGGTTTGATGTTTAGGAATAACATCTCTAGTGCTTTCTCCTTTTAACTCACCATGACCGGAACAGCCAAA